AGCGTCCTTGCTCCTAGTAGCGATGCCCTTTGTTCCTAGTAGCTTTTTGCTCCTAGTAGTAAGGCCAGGAGCCCCTAGTAGCGTCCTTGCTCCTAGTAGCGATGCCCTTTCTTCCTAGTAGCTTCTTGCTCCTAGTAGTAACGCCAGGTTCCCCTAGTAGCGTCCTTGCTCCTAGTAGCGAGGCCCTTTGTTCATAGTAGCTTCTTGCTCCTAGTAGTAAGGCCAAGAGCCCCTAGTAGCGTCCTTGCTCCTAGTAGCGATGCCCTTTGTTCCTAGTAGCTTCTTGCTCCTAGTAGTCAGGCCAGGAGCCCCCAGTAGCGTCCTTGCTCCTAGTAGCGATGCCCTTTGTTCCTAGGTAGCTTCTTGCTCCTAGTAGTAAGGCCAGGAGCCCCTAGTAGCGTCCTTGCTCCTAGTAGCGATGCCCTTTGTTCCTAGTATCTTCTTTCTCCTAGTTAAGGCCAGGAGCCCCTAGTAGCGTCCTTGCTCCTAGTAGCGATGCCCTTTGTTCCTAGTAGTGTTCTTGTTCTTAGTAGTAAGGCCAGGAGCCCCTAGTAGCGTCCTTGCTCCTAGTAGCGATGCCCTTTGTTCCTAGTAGCTTCTTGCTCCTAGTAGTAAGGACAGGCTTGCTCCTAGTAGGGATGCCCTTTGTTCCTAGTAGCTTCTTGCTCCTAGTAGTAAGGCCAGGAGCCCCTAGTAGCGTCCGATCGCTCCTAATTCAGGGCCTAGTTTTCCTTTCCATGAAAAGCAACTGCCCAACAGCCGAGCGTCAAAGTATTGTGCATCCGCAAACCATGCGCAACACGACCAGCTGCACGGTTCCTTAAAGCAGCTGACAACTGGAATCCCAAGTTATGCTGCTGTGGATTGGGTTCAATCATGTCCTGCCTGAGAATGCCTGAGGCTCTTGTGTTTATGACAAGGGCTTGGCTGCTACATTGTTGGCAATTCCATCACCAATCAGTGAATCTTCCGCTGGTTGAAAGATCGTTGTCTCAGCTTGTCACAGCATCATTGGAAGGCGGATACTGCCATCATGGATCTCGGGGGGGAAGGTAGAATACTGAAAGCCTCTGAAATGACATCCGAATCCTTTTAATGAAAACACATCGTCAAGAAGGAACACTTTGAACCTTACAGCTTCAAGAGCGCACACAACTTTGAAGAATTGGAGGTCATAGGCCTCCGGACCGAGAATACAGTCACCTGATTCCACGAACCCAACGGGTTGGGTCATGGTGTGCCTGCTTCCGCTCGCACCACACCAAGCCAAAACGGAAGCCAAGCCAACTATGATGCGAATCCTTGAAACAGCTTCCAAAAGCGGCTTGTAGGGTAAACTATGAAACTTGGGGAAGACAAAACGTTATGTTTTGCAGGGCAAGCTGGGTTTCAGACTGGCGCAACTCCCAAAATCAACGGTGGTTGGAGTAAGGCCCCTCAATATGGGCATCGTGCAACGATCCAATTGAGGACCAGAACAGTCCATGCCGCGTTCTCTCATGTCAACATTGTTCCCTAGCTATTCCAAACAATTCCCAACGCATCAAAAAAAACACTTCTGCAAAGGGCAAGTGTCACATCTGGGTCCAGATTGATATAGCAGCAGTTTTCATCCGTCTCTCTCTCCCGTTCAGGCTTCCGCTCCTGAACCGAATCGGCTGGTCGCGGCGGACCACTCAGATCTGACCCCAAAGCAGCCGCGCCCAGCAGTGCCGTTCCCCATGGTCCATCAAATAGCATGGCTCAAGGGGTCCATCGTGGTCCAAACCACTGTGAAGGGCTGAAGGACCTGAAGGAAATGGTGGCCGTGCGGCCCCATGTCAGGAAAAAAACATCCGTGGTTCTACAAGTTGTATCAGCTATATCTTATTGGTTATAATTATATCATAGTGCTTTGTCATCGGTCTCGCCTGGTTTGCTTCGTCCATCGCGCTGATTCCAACTCCGATTCCAAGTGACCCGGGCCCTTGTGACAGACACAAAGACAAAGAAATTCACTCGAAAGGACAAAGGAAGAAAAGAGATGCCAACAAAAACAGGCCACTGGCCACTCCTGGCCACTCCTCCCTGACAGGAAAAGAGATGCCCTAGCTCAGGTGTCATAGTTCCCAAGTCCTCACTGTCGAGTTCAGCCCGCTTTTGTGGTTTAGCCCTGCAACTACCCGCGCTCCTGAACTCGATACGGCACTGCTCGTCTCTCGGTCGTCCGACTGGTCATTGGACCTTGGCTGAAGATCGTCGCTCCCTATCTATGCAGATCTATGCAGCAAATCTATGGAAGTGGACAGTACACAGTGGGACAACATCGTCCATACATATTTGTGTATATATATGGTGCTCTATTTATAATATAATTTTATATGTTTCACTGCCATCATGGTTGATGGGATGGTTGGAGGAACGGTAAAGAACAACTTCTGGGATAGCCAGTTTCTTGTGGCGACATTTCGTTGGCGAATCAAAAGAACCCCCACAGGTTACTGATCAGGAACTGCCAAACAAGAACTTAACATAGCTTGACTATTCAATGGAAACTTATTGATGAATCTTACTCGAAGCCAAGGCCACCGGGCGGTCCGAGGGTTCATGGAGCGTAGAAAATCAGGACGTGTCTCCTCATGACCCCGGTCAGTCCATGGCTCTTCAGGGGTCACCCGGCTTGAACGATTTAAAGGCCACACACCACCAGGTGGCACGGATCGTATCCAACAACCCAACCACCTGCAGCAAGCTGACTCGGTTGGAGGCCATCGCTACTAGGGTGGAGGCCATCGGCATGACTAGGTGCACCCCGACTCACCAGCATCCCAAGCCAACCATCTGACCAGCCAACCATTCGACCCAGTCGCGGTAGGTAGAGCCTCTCCCAGAGTCCATCAATTCGTCCAAGGTGAGGCCCTGAGGATCCACAGAAGGCGGCCCAGTGTGGTTGGATGAAGCGAGAAGCACATGATTTTCCGACAACCAACTGCTGGTGCAAACTGCTGGCTTTTGGGCATGGTTTTGCTGTGCTGTCGTCATGTGCTTTGGTGCAAACTGCTGTTTTTGTTTCCTCATTTTGCAGGCTCTTCAGCGGAATGTAGCCATCCTAGAGTAGATAGAAAGCATACATAAACCATTGGACTCAGAAGTGGGTTGACATTACCTGGAAAAAGTGTGGTGAGTGGCTCCAAATCTGTGGGGACATCTTTGAATTTGGTGCCACCATGTGCTTTCTTGCTCTCGTCCCTTCGGAATAGGCGTGGCAACATGATGCGCCATGTGCCACCTAACTCTGACATCATATGTCATGTGCTCTTTAAAATAACAACTAAACAAATAACAGCACCAGTACAATGGTACAATGTTGTCTTTAACAAACAGCTCTGGAACCTGGCAAGACCTCGCAGAATCGCGAGAAAAACCGCAGAATCGAGACTGAGGCCCCCCAGCCAGTCTGTCCTGCGTTCCTCTCCGTGCCATGGCGAAAGTCACGCCGGTGGTACTCGTCCCTGTGAATTTGCTGGAGCATTGAGATGCGCTGAGTCATTGTGTTCATGTCAACACACTTTGCAATATGCAAACTCAGTTGTTGGCAACTTCACCCGGCCACTCGAACTCTGCAACGACAAAGACTTATATTATAGAATATGCGTCTAGACTAACCAGACTCGATCCTCATGAAGACTCGACCAGCCAGTCTTGATGTTGCTTGCAAAAATCAACCCTATCGGCCCGCACGGACCGCAAAGAGGACACTGCACAGCCAATGCGACGAAAAATCACGGGAATTCCGGTCCCACGCCGACGCCTTTTAAGGGACTGTTACAACGGTCCTAACGGACTATAACTATGTTATATAAAGTATATCAAGTCATTTGGGTGGTGAAATCTTCATTATTATTCATTATTATGTAACTACTATCTGAAATCATCTGAAATCTACCCGCTGGGGACTGCATCACCCAGCCACCCCCGCGTATCTTCCGCCGTTCGCAAAACCTGTCCCAATCAGCTGGAAGCTCCAAGAGCTGCCGAAGCTTCTCTTCTGCCGTCACCACCAAGTCCTCGACGAGGAGCTGCGCGCTATGGTGGACGGGTGTTGTATTCCAAAATAACATCCGCTACAACAGTACCAAACTAAACGCATCAACATGGCATGTTGATACCTCACCACCAAGTAAGGCACAACAGAATTGGATTCAAGATGATTCAAGTATCACAGGTACCAATGCTCTGATTCTCTCTCAAGTGTCACACTGCTCTGTAGGTATTGCTTCCACACTTCTCTGAGTCTTGGAAGACCTTAAACCGTTTGAGACATCCGTTTCTCCCGCCCACCAGAAGCCCGGCTGCCGCACACACCGACCTCGCGCGGATCTCCCGGCTGCCTGGCTACTTGGATGCGCGATGCAAATGGCCTGCGTCGTCACATCCCAACGGATCGTCGTCACATCCGACGCGTCTGGCCGAGCTGAGCATCGTCGTGGCATTGCGATCACAGGGACCTCCAACGGATCAACTTGTCCAAAAGCCATTCAGTTCAAAAGAAGAAGGGCAAAATCAGGGTTGTAAAGACCTGCTTGCTTTTTGGGGGCTCTGACATTGACTCACCAATCTGTCTGGAAAAAGTAAACGGAGATAATATGCAATTGAGATTCAAACAACCAAATGGGTCGGGAGTGACTCGCACACCCGGAGTTTCAGTTCGCCTCTCGGAAAAGGGGTAGTCTATGGTAGTCTCGTTTGGTCTTCAGGTCATGTCCCATGTTCTTTTTGGTACGAACGAAGTCGGATCCAGGTACAGTAAGTGTGTACACTGCTCGGCCTCTTCAATTCGTCCACAAGGCTTCCCTTCCTGCGAAGAAGGGATTTCGTGGGCGGCACGTGAGCTGTCTTGGTTATTTTGGCATGTTCTTATGAATCTTATGACACAAAAGGTGGACGGACAGCAGGCGGACATCAATCCTTCCGACTGAAGGCCGCCACCACGGTGCCCGGGGGCGCAGCAAAGGCAAAGGCCATGCCCCGAGGCGCCTGCAACGAGGAGCTGATGGGCTGAAACCGAATCTGGAATGCCGGAGTCTGTGAGCTGGTACCCATGTTGCAAACAGAACAAATGGGGACGATGACACTGAAGGCCTACATTGACCACCCCAACCACCCCAACTGATGGGCATCTTTTGGCATACATCGAGTGCCTGGGATATTTCAAATGCCACACCGGTAAACATACCAATAAAAAAGGGAGAACGCCGGACACTAACTCCCTCAACCTTGGGCTGTGGTCGAGTCGATCTACCTAGGGTCGTGGTATGTCGTGAGTCCGGGTCCGGTCTGCACTGTCTGCACTCACCCAAACATCCAAAAACACTAACGCATACTAACACCCAAACACTCCAAGGTGACAGGGATACAAGTGAACTCCTCCATGAAACAGTATGAAGCCACCCTAAGTGATCGATCACGCCTGTTGGCGGTGTCTGGGTACCGTGTAGGAGCCTGGGTGGACACTTTGCAGCCGTCTCCTCGCGCCTGGCATCCGTAGTCCATGGAGATGCGGCCCTTGCTGCTATGGAAGCGAACACTTTGCAGCGAACCATGCGACGTATCGATGTAGCCGGTGATCCTGGTGATGAACCTTCGAAGGTGAGTGGAGGGGGTGGGGGGTGAGAAGGAAAGAACAGGGTGAGGCGCTGAAAACATGTTCACTTGGCTTCATGATCCATGAGTCCATCACGTTCACAAGCTCACCGTTTCTTTCTGCCCTATATACCGCTTTTGGTCGAATGACCAGTCGTTTGTCGGCTCTCTCCCTCTCTCTCTCTCTCTCTTTCTCGCTCTTGCCAGTCTTCAGCATCGGTAGACCCAACATGATGAAACAGTTGCTCTGAAAAGGCTGCCAAACCCATGAACTCTGATGAACCCAGCAAATTCTGGTAGACTTTGGGTTGCTGTTTTTGTGTGTAATTGGGAACTACTGAGCTGAGTATCTAGATCTGATACGATCTGATTAGGTGCGCCATATATAGTGGTGTCGTTTTTGTCGCGGAGCGTGACCAAGCGACATATCCAAGCGATGCAAAGCAAATGATTCATTCGCTAAATGAGTGATACACAAAATACTGATTGATTTAGATTTCTCCCTCTATAGACATACCGTAAACCCCACAGAAACTTTGTTCACCAGGGGGGAAAATCTTGGAGTTGACAAACATTTTGTTGACGCCTGTTCAATGAGGCTCTTCGCTACGCGACACCAATTCTTTCACGATCGGTGTCTACTTCGGTCTCGACCTCCACAGCTGTTTCTTCACCAAGCTCCCCCACTCTCCGTCCATCAAGGAAAAGGGCGGCGAGGGCTTCGCCACCGACCGACCCAGCGGATTGCCATCCAAACCTCAGACGTGTGAGTGACTGTGGGCTAAGGGACATGCTTCTGCTGGGGGTGACCTGTTCGCTTCTAGCAGCACAGTCCATGTGCTGGTGGGGTGCCATGTGTTGCCATTGTCCAGGTTAATGTGTATGACAGAGTTCACCAACCAGAAAGAGTCATGAATCCTCAAAGGTGCCACACATTCTGCCGCATGGTTTTTGGATGTGTTTGGCATTCCTGGATCAAAGAAACTCCCCCGAGCATGCCTGAATCTGTGATGTTGTTTGCCAAACCTGGACACATCTTTGGGGCGCCACCATCCAAATGGAGCACAACTGAAACACGTGCAGGACCATGGACCATGGACCATCCTGTGTCTTTGCCCGGCGCCACCATCTGAGGCTGCGAGAGGTGAAATCTGGCTACAAACTCTCACCACTTGAGGCCACAAACATTGGCCACAGCCGGATCCCAGGGATCCCCTATACCTTCTCACAAGGGCGAAAGCCTCCACAAGGCGAAGAACAGCCATCGTGTCGACTGAAGTGTTTTCAAGTGTCTTGAATCAACCTATCTTAAGATATCTTAAGGGTATATGGATCCATAGCGTGGTCCACCCATGGGGCACCAGGTTTGCTGTTTTTCATGTTCGCCTTCAAACTTGACGTGCCGATGGCGGCATAGATGGCTTGACGTGCCATTCAGTGAGTCCTTCACATCGACGGACCATGGTCCATCGATGCGAAGAAGAACGGGGTGTCCATGTGAAATCATCCAATCCTCCGGGATCCTGTTGCTGAAAGACCCTAACCACTGATTGTGTTTTTTTTCCACCTCCAATCGAAAGGACCAGAAAGCGATTCTCAGTGGAATGTGCGTAGCTTGTGCCTGTCAGGTAACAAAATATGTATAACGCACTGAACCCAGGGGAGCTCACATTTCTATTGCAATCTATTGCACAATGCAGTGCCAGAACCTTTGTTCAAGTTTCAGGAGTTTGTCGATTCACCGCATGTCAAATGCGATCCATTAATTAGTCACCCCGTGCATCCGAGAAATATAATTTGACCATCCCTGACATGCACCAAATCTACATCATGGTTTGATGTTAAGTCACAAACTAGAATGGTTGTACAAACCATGTCATTCCGTCTCGTATTGTAACACATGCCAGATATTATATATTATAGTAGTCCAAGTGTGAGTCGGTGGTTCAGGAGTTATAGGCAAGTGCATCGCTATTAGTAGTTCCTGGCATTGCTACTAGTAGCAAGAAGCTCCTACTAGTAACAAGTTCATCGCTACTAGTAGCTAGAAGCTACTAGTAGCAGGGGCATCCATAATTTAGATATTATTTAACAAGATGTAACAAGTGCATCGCCACTTGTTGAATTCGACCTTTGCTTTCATCTCAACCCTGATCGAATCCCCCCGACCAAGCCGGCGCAAGTGAAAACCGGTCTGCCTGTGAGATAGGATCCATCTGGATAGCGGAAGATGATCGTCTCCACCACTTGCTCAGTAGCAAAGACCTGGTCAACGCTGGACCACTCTAAAGCTGAGTTTTCTTTTGCAAAGTCCTTTTTTTTGTCAGTTCTTGAAAGTGACCGCCACCTCTCACCAAAGTGACAACAATGACTCAATGACATTCCCAATGAATGAGTCTTTTTTCTCCTCCCATCTCGATGGGAAGATCGACATCACACCTCTTGAAAAAGCGAGCAGCCCAAAGTCTTTGTGCGCTTGCGCAAGCGAGCGAGCCTTTCAAGGGATCCACGTATTTGCTCAGAAGCTAGTGGGACACACCAACCCATCAGAAATTCCCCTCAAAAGGTATGTGGATGCCACCTCCCCGTTGAACGTGCATCGAGGCACAGCGATGACAACCACAACACAAAAATCGATTTGTGCTGATGGTCTTCATCGCTTTTGTGCGCCAGGCCCCTCGTTTTCGTGCTTTTTGCTCCATCTGGGGATAGTTCAAAGTTCCACTTTGCTGATCCCCAGTCTCGGGAAAGGCAAACCAAGCCCAGATCCATTGCTGCGCGGAACGGGCAAACCCCCACTGGAGGCCATCGCTAGTAGGTTGGAGGCCATGGTCGCTTCAAAGCGCTCCGTGTGGCGCCGAAATTCGCTCCTCGTCGATGAAAGCGGCCAAATCGACTCGATATGACGAGTCGAATGAACCAGAAGAAACCGGGAGACCCCGGCTCTCCATGGAACCAAAGAACCATGATGAACCATTGATAAAACCTTTTTTCTCAGAAATCAATTTGCAAAGCCCCCAAAAGGCTCCCTGAAAGGATCCCTGACTCATCCGGCTGAAAGAAAAAAACACATAAACATGGGGGCTCCCATCAGCAGGGACCACGTTACGTGTGTTACGTGTCACCCTGGGAAAAAAAAAGCTATTCCGGTGTCAGGATGCATACCGGACCCAACATTTATATACATATATTATTCCAGGGTAGTGGAGCAAAGTCCAAATAACTTCAGTTATAATATATAGAGTGCCACTTCGATGTTGGAAGTGGTGGTTGGAAGTTGGTGGAAGTGTCTGTTGGAAGCTGTTGGAAAGATATTTCATGGTTGCTGGCACTGCTGGCACATCTCTGACAACATATAGTCATAAATATTCCACGGCTGCTGCCACATCTCTTTATCTAATAATTATTCATTATATATATTCATTGGTCGCGAGGTTCGTGGTAGCTATTATTCCTAGGTGGCCCCTACTCCCCTGGCACAGCGACCCCAAGAAAATGATGTATACCTAATGAGCATACAAGTATTTCTGGCTGTTACATGAACCCTTGACATTGAATCATGAGATATCATAAGTATTCATAAGTTAAGGCAGCTCCCATACATCAACCACCCGCCACAACCCACTCCGAACCGTCCGAACCCTCGCCTCCACGGAGTGCGGTGGCCGTCGGAAGTCCCTCAACTCGCCAGAGTCCAAGGGCACCTGATCGGCGAAGCAAAGAGCAGCGAAGGACCTGGACCTTCGTGTGTGTGAATAGCTGACGGTGAATACTTGCCTTTGCTTTTGCTTTAATCATGCATATTACACAAATACCAAATCTGACACATTGCTTGTGACCTGGCAGCAAGGCACGCCAGGTTGAACTATTTGGAGGGGATGTTGAGATGTTTGAACCCTCACCCCTCAAGTCAGTAGTCAAGATAATATATATTATATATTAGATACAATATGTCTATGATCCTAAACTTTGTGAGACGCCTGCGCGGCCAGCAATGCATTCTTCCCAACTCAGCAATCGATGCCCGCTTGCCTGCTTGCCATCCGCTTCGATGCGAAGTCCGATCTGCGCAGCTGGTACATGCTCTGCCCGCAATTGCTGGATCTGGCGCCAAGGAGAAAGCAAGTGAGAACACTGTGAACCACGTCCTGGAGCGAGGTATAAAGACCTGACCCTACTTGAATTGCTACTTGGTTTCTCTGGACGACATTCTACGCAAACTGAAGACCTAAACATCAACATCATCAACTCCAGATCGCTGTGTAGCTTCGCTTTGTCTGCACTCAGGACCTCGAAGCTCGGCAAGCCTCTAATAATTGTGGACAGCCTATTTAAAAAGGACTGGGGCACGCCGCTTCTAATATATTCCTGTCCAATGCGGCCACGTGCGAACACCTCGCACTCAGCCCCGGAGGCTTCCGGCCGCCGTTCCAGGACCCGGCCGTTCGTGACGTTGAGAGCAGTCTCTGCTAGACATGGACGTGGGCGAGTCGAAGCGACCGCTGTCCAGTCGAAGCGGCTCGGGACTCGTCGTGAAAGTGAAACTGCCCTGAAGCGCTCGTCTCACCCCGATGCAGTCTCAATGTCACGGACTACTTATGTCTCAGCTACCGCTGCCCATTTGACCCCGCACCACCAACCAAAGCATCTCATCAAAGACCAAAGCATTTCTGGTCCAGTGGTGTTTACGGTCCAGTGGTGTCAATACAGGATGAAACAACACAAACAAACCCTCCTAATGAGTTTGGTCCGCCTGGGAGGTCCTGGGAAGGCTTCTCAATCCGGTGTCGCCATTGTAAGGATTCAACACCGCTGAAAAAAGCTTCCCATCCAACCTGAAACATTCGAACCACACGCCGTAGTGTTCCACAGTCAAGTGGGGGACACCCCCTTGACCTTTGGTCCGAAAGGACCTGTCTGCCGTCAGTCATTTGTCTTTTTGTTGATCTGTTCCTTAATTTACTAACTGGAAAATCACATGCCACGCCAACAAAACACACAGAAAGGCTGTCTAACACAAATATTCTATGCCATATATATAACTCTCCATGTCCATGGCGTCCTTCATGGCTGTCCATGGCCCCACCCCACAACACGATCGATGATCGATCACCCGGACCTGCTCCCCTACAGGGCGGGCGCCTCCACTCCGAGGCCCGAGTGTGCCAATGCCACGGCCATGCGAATCACCTTAGCCACTAAGCCAATATGGTGATGTCTAGCGAAGCGGTGAATGCATGGGGAGGGTGCCTTTTTGATACGGGCAACTGGCTTCATCTTTGAAGAGGTGACAGGTGGGCGAGTTCTCCTTCGACTGTTGACAGATGAAGAATGAATCCTTCCGAATCCCTCCCATGTTGTGTCCAATGAAGCCCTGTCAGAGTTACGTATAGACAACTTCTTCCATCCTCAACTCCGAGAAAAAGTCCAAGAATTGCCTTCAATCTAACTTTTATTTAGTTATAATTCTTGAATACTATTGTCAGTATTTAGATTAATATATATATATATACTATACATCTTTCCAAGGCACCTCTGGATGCTTGTGGAGCATGCCAGCTCGCGCCAGTGCGGTGCGTGGAGCATCGGCAAAGGCCTATAGCCAACGGCGCCAGTGCGGGTGTTCAAGTCACAGACGTCAGAGTGGCCTGCATTTTCTATATTTTCTGATCCTTTCTAGGACAGGCGGGATTGACATGACTGAAACGGAGGGAAGGCAACACCCAACTCGACACCGACATGTGGGTCATTCGTCCACACCTGCCAGCCCGTGCCTCGCCCAAGGCCTGTCGCAAGAGTGCGTCCAACTTCTCTGGCGCCTGGGGAGCCTTGATTGACGACCACAATGGTGGAAGTGAATGGAATCAGGTTGAATCAAGGCTGGAATAGGAGGATTGTGGTCATTCACGTCTCTACTGGAATAGGAGGATTGAAGAAAGGAGGAATCCTCCTACTCCGATGCTCCTAGGAGTCCTCATCGGTTTGTAGGAGGATTCCTATTCTGCTGAGGCAGGGCAGACCATGTGGGTGACATCACCAGAGGTCGGGCTGGGGTTCCTATAAATAAAGACACACACACACACCATGTGGAGATGATTGGCCTCCCAAGTATTTAATTGACCTGTGAAGTTTCTGGATGCAATGCCCATTTTGGCCTATATATACAATCAACCACCACCGGCTGGGCTCCATCAAAACGTTGACCGCGCATCCTTCGTCCAGCAGCATCCGCATAGATGGCTTTCGCCGGGGTTTCGCCGGATGGCTGGAAGCTGGACAGGTCGGGCAGGGTGGCAGGCCCGGCCGCGGAATACCTGGCCGTGAATTCCAAACCCAAGCACGACAAATGGGACTGGAATGTAGACCATTGTAGACCTACATTGACCCCAGGCAAATATGGCACACATGGAGTGCCTGGGTATTTCAATGTAATGCAAACCCTCTGGCAGTTCCAGGCCAAAAAACTGCACCAGCTGAGCCTTTTGTTTGCCGTTTTGTGCTTTTTGTTGTTCCGCGAGCGCTGAAGACCTGCTTCTGATGGGTGAATGTGTGTGAATGGTTGACTGGGGGAAGCATGTTGGCATGTTGGTGCTGTATCATGCCAAGAAAAGAGTAGTACCAAAACCTACCACGGCAGCGCACAAAATGGCAGTGCAAAGGCAAAAACGAGGAATTTGTCACAGATTCAGTTGAACGGTTCTTGAGCCACGGAATTGGGCAGGCTTTAGCAGCCACGAAGATTTCAAAACTGGGCAACCAGGTTCAGCAAAGTCCAAGAAACCACAACGTGCAAGAAACCGCAACCAGAACGCTGTTAGGGGAAAGCACAACTCTCGTGCCAAATCCTAACACAGGAGTTGCATTAGATGAACTTAAATCAATTCCACCAGAAGAGGCAACCAAGTTTCAGAAACACTCACCTAGGAACGCGTCTCCCAACCGTCACAGAAAGCCACCACCAGTAACCAGTAGCTCGCTTTTAGAGTGGTCAGGGACGGTCAGGGGCCACTCCCAACGTGTCCTTCTTTGAGCGGCCCCAAAAGCTTGTGCACTCTCAAGTGATTTCTCAAGTGGTGAAAGTCATTGTTCAGGCTCCACCCTCCAAAACAACATGGGCCCACGTTCTTGGTCTTCCGGTCCATGGTCTATTCTTTTCAAAGTCCGGAGATTGTCGGACCAGCAAAACGTGAGAGATATCCACGTTCTCTTGTGCAAGAGGTGCTTGGCAAAAAGCTTAGGAAACATCTGTGCAAAGAGATATCAAACATGTGGGTCTGCAACCTACCAGCCACCCCTGCAACATCCTGCAACGGGTTTCCGCCCCGTGTTTCCGCCCGGTGACGCTGTGCCATGAGCCGCATGAGCCGCATGAGCCGCATGAGCCGCAGGTCTGTATGGGGCGGAACCAGCGCCAGGCGCGGGCACCGGAGCACCAGGGACATACGGTCCATGGCTCCACATGGTGGATGTTGCAAATGGATTAAAACTTGTACGAGTAGATTCTTTCAAACCAAAACAACTGCAAAACAACGACTGTCCCAATGAAATGTGTGCCTTTTCCCAATCTGTTTGTTGGTTTGAGTCGCTCTCTTGTGCTCTTTTTTGGTCCGAGTCCGCCACAATAAGTACTGATCATCCCGGGATCAGTTGACCTTTCCTACACCGTCCCTAGGGATCCAAGTACCTTCTCAGAAGGTACTTGGACCCTCCAAACCTACAGAACAGTGTCTCCTTCCTCACCGTACCTTCTCGAAGGTACGACTGGAACCCCAAAAAGGGTGTGTCAATGTCCAAGAACTGCAAAACTCCCCCCCCCTCACAGACGGAAGGAAGGTTGGGGCGAACCGTGGGTCCAAGGTCGGAACGTACGACCGGTCTGGATGAAGGGTTCCATTCTTTTGGCAGAATCAGAAGAGATCAGAACAGAATGGTTCCCCAAAAGTGGATCACCAGTAGAGTTCCAACAAAAACGGATCAGCCACCTGTTGTACACTTTGCTGCTCGATGTGGCACCAGTTCCAGCGAGAAGCAGTGAACAAAGAAAATCAGCTCTTGACACACCATGCACTTCTTGAATGCGAAAGTCAACATCTGAATTGTGCTACAGCTGTGCGGAGTGCGATGTCCAATGAGACAAGTACAGCTGAGTGATGCTGAGTGCAGTCCAAACGAGAAACCTAAGCAGCAAGGCATGCATGATCAAGCTTGTCTATAGACTGCTCAATTCAAGAATCCCAGCACATGCTTGTCTCCAGTAGAGGAGACTGGCACGACACACTCCCAGTTCAAAAAAGCAACGCTGTTGGCCCTGTCATGGCGGGACCGGTCGGACCTGACTCTGAGCTCCCATTGTTGGGGCGGTCCTCGAAGAACGATCTCAAGATCTGAGGTTTGCAACAAAGACATGTGGCATCCCTTTTCTGGACATATATTATATATATATTAATTGTTCTATCCATGAAGCGAGCTCGAGTAGCAGGAGTATGCGAGGTGGTGGTGTTGCCAAAGCCTGAGAAAACATCTATATACACAAATATGTATATATATATATATGTGTGTAAGGCAAAAGGCAACTATATATATATATATAGCTATGATATGTATATAGTTGAAGTATCTATTTCAGAGTGAATCCACCATACACCACTAATGATGGCTCGCATGTTCCAATCAGCACATCTGGTTTTGAAGAAGTCCCTTGAAACAATGCCACCACAGCTGAACCGCCATGCGGGTGTGGGCTTGACCTCCCAACAATCGGGTAAGAACCTGATATCATGATGGCAGTCCCACTGGATAACTGGTGTCCAACCACGACTGGGTCACCAAGCACCAGTTTCTCACCAGCACCGGTCATGGCACCCGGAAACCCAAACCGGTTGACCAACCGAACCGATTCCTCCGTAGTGACGAAAAGAACCGACACGAACCGTCACAGCCGGCAGACGTCGTCTCCTGCCCATGGCACTTTGGACCTGGCTCGTCGCAAGCTTGTCACACCACGCAAGCTTGTGACCCTTACGACAAAGGTTGGTTTTAAATGGAACATTAGACCCAAATGTATTGAATGCAAAAAAACACAAAGTCCAACACATTTGGATCGAACTTTTGACACCACAAAGTTGTTTTTATTTGTCTTCAAAAAAGGGTTCAAACTTGTTTACAAACGCACACTATGAGGAGCAATCAATACTATAGACAACGTGCAAAGCACAAGTTGATTCATTGTAAAGGTCCACCTTTTCTTCATCGAGATCGGTGATTGATCCAGACAACAGTTGTTCGGATAGTCGAAGGTGTTGAAGTGTTTTTGATGTTTTGTGACTTGGATTCAAACACAGCGTCTACATGTTACCAGGCTGCATGATCTTCCCTGTTTCGATCCTTTCTTCAAACCAGGTGATTGGGAAAATGAGGACAAGCTTGTGTGCCAAGGTGTCCAAGCGCTCCCTTTCCTCCGTTAACAAGCAAAACTGCATCGATTCGATGACATTAGATGACGGCACGTCTTCACATTGCATACTCAATGGCATGCTCTCTTGCAATGGCATGAGGTTATCCAACAATGGCCAGTTGTAGTGAGTCCCTCGGTACAAAAATACCCTTTCCTGTCAAGAATCTGGTCTTCCCGACAGGTGTCATGAAAAAAAGACCTTCTTCTAGGAGAAACAACATGATACTAAAGCACTTCAGGAAGCAGCTGGAAGCCACTGCTGAATCCAGTTGTTTGTGCTTGTTCGTGGTCTCCCTATTCTGGTCTGCACATGGCGCAGCAAACTTCTGAGTCTCGGGCATTTTGTCTGGAGACTTCATCTTCTGCAGTCTCTCCCGATGGCAAGCAGGTCCAACCTGAGGGAACGACATCGCAGACATCGGGCCGTGCCCCGTATTCGAAGCATCGACTCTGAACTGGAGGGTTTTGACGCTGCTTTTTGCACGGGTTGAACGCAGGGCCTGAACCAAACCCTGAACCAAACTGAGGGTATTTGATTGTATAAAGGGGTGATTCACGGGTGGGCAGTGGTGTGGAACAATGTCAAAGCCTGTGCCTACTTGTCGGTCCATACAGGCCTGCTGCTGGCAAGCTGCTCTGTCAGCAACCAGTTCGTCTTCTGCGCCCCCGATGCAGCACTTCTGTGGTTATTACTAGCAGGTAGCCATCCCAAGAACGCATCAAAACATATATAAATACAATGAATAGTTTACACAAATAGAACACACCCATTGGTAGTTCCCATAGGAAAGGTAACTAAGCAATTCTATACTATACACCCTAGAGTCAGACTGCTTGCCAGGTCTGGACCCGAATCCTTGGACTTCCGACTTTGTGGATCAAACCGCTTGTTCTCCGGACACGATCTCCGACGATCGGAATTGGACTTCGACTTGGCGAAGCGCCGAGACTTCGGATGCGACACGACGAGAAGCAAAGAATCAGGTTCCAAAGACTCCATGGGACTGGGAAATGATGCTTACAAGGCTTACATGGAATGGACCCCTTCTCTGAAAGCACCCCAGCTGATCGGTCGATATGCCAGTCCATGCCAGTCCTATGGTCGGGGGTTGGCGTTCCCTAGGGCACGAAGAGGGATGAACAAAGAGGGATGCTTCCTGACTCAGACTCCAACGTGGACAATGTTGTTTCATCTTCCCCAACTCCCAGGATCCTTAGGACCCCAACAAGGAGGGCCGCCCTTCTCCTGTGATGCAACCAATCAATGCGACTGTCTTCCAGGACTTGGTCATTTTTTTGGTTTTTTCTGAGTGCTTATTGAAAATGAACATACAATAAGAACCGAATAGCAATGGCCTCCAATCTAGAAACGATGGCCTCCAACCTAATAGCAATGGCCTCCAACCTAGAAGCAAAGGATGGTACAATTGCTAAACCACTTCAAATACCCGCGCACGAAAACTGACTCATGCATCCATGCGTGCATATATTGGATTGTCACACCAACAAGACTAGCACAGGCCAAGGGAAAACATATAAGGGCGGATGCCATGTGAATTCCTGCAAGACTCTCCACATCATCCACCAAACATATGGGCCAAAAAAAATTGCAACACTCAATATTAAGTGCAAATCTTCCTTCGCTACCAGTCTAATCCTTTCCATATAGATCGAAAAGTAGATCCCCACTAAGAATGTATTGGAAAGCGTGCAACTATCTATAGGCCTGTCCATATACAATATATATAATATATAGTTCTCAAACCGGCTCTTTCCAACTCGCTCTGTGGACGCTCCACTTCGGCTCCTTGCCGTCGCCGTTCCGGCGCTTGCGCAGGTCGATGCGACCTCGCAAAAGGACGGGAAGAGACGCGGGGCGCCAAAGGACGGGAGGATGGTGAAGATGTGGAAGAAATCATCAAGTACAGTGTTTTGCACCAGCGCCTTCAAAGGGGTCACCTGGCTGGAAGCCCCTGCACCCATCTAGGGATCTCCATTAAACACCCCTTTGAAGCCAGGTATTGTATAATATGCTCAACCTGCACTATCTAATTACTAATATACTCTCTGATACTGCAGGATGATCTTATCTTTGTATCCCAGTTTGGTTCTGTGGAGTATGGCGTTAACCGGGTAACCGGGTCGGGATTCCGGTTGATCGGGATCCGGTCAGACCCCCCACACCCCGGTCAGCCAGTCAGCCGATCAGCCCGGTCAGCGGCCCGGTCCGAACCGATTGATGGGCCAGCCGTGAAATTCATATTTGCTATAAACCTGGCCGGCCGATTGAGCCTATAGTAACCGGTTAATTGGGTTGACCAAATTGAAATGAATTGAACTTTACGTAATTTGAATTGAACCGGGTTGTGAATTCAATTAAAAACAAATTACAAGTAGATTTAATTAGAATTGCATTAGAATTGAAATTAAAAGGACCTGAACTAGAAATGAACTATTCAAATTGGTAAAGCAATAATCAGGATTGAATGAAGTTCTATACATTATTTAGCATTAAACTAGAATTGAATTAGGCTTAAACTTGATTAGAAGAAGACCGAACCTAACCGTGCTGACCGGGTCGAGCTGAACGGGCCCGGCTGATCGGCTAACCGGGCTGACCGGGTGAATCTTTTCCAAATTATCTGGGATCCAGCACAGCTTGGTTCCCCCACATATCTGCGTGCATCCACCACGCAGTTCCAAATGCGTCGCGCAACCGCCCGATACAAAAAAGTATTCCCTTTGCTTGTGTAGGGAAGAACATGTCTCGAAAAAGGAGATAGAGCATATCTCGAAGCTATCAAGCTGAGGCAAAATCATCCAGAAAAGATCTAGATGAGATTGTGGCCATCAACAGAGATGTAACCTCGGAACTTTGCCCAGAATTTGCTGCAAGACTGGTCACACTGTCGCCATCCTTGTTGCGCTCTTGGAGATGGGAAGCTGGCACGTGAGGCAACAGCAATCGGACGCAGTCAACATGAGGGTACATCACAGCAACTTGAAGTGGGCGATCGCCATCAACATCCTTAGCAGTTGCGTTTGCGCTTGCTTCAAGCAACTCAGAAACCACGTCTGGGAGCCCATGCTTGCAAGCAACATGCAAAATGGAACAAGGGTGGTAACAAAGTTTGTAAAAAGAAACTTCTTGCAGATATTCTTGGTTTTTGTCCTTCTGCTCACAGTGGACCTGGCTTCACTTCTGCTCCAAAAATCCAACCCGCAAAATAGATTGATACAAAAAGCTTTGCCTAAATTCCCAAGGGGTTCTACCCAAGAAAAACTTGGCAGCCAAGATGCGGAGCTGGACCGGCGCAGCTTCCGAAGAGGAAGCAGCGCCATCCGTCATGGCTAAGATGAGAACGATTGGAAAAACGAAAGGTAACCTTGTCACACTACTTGCGTACCATGTTCTTAAAACAGCTGGTTTTTGCACATGACCCAGATTGTTGTCACCTACAATATTCTAACAGTGTTGGTACTAGTGTTAGTATAGCCATGGGATGGTAATTTTCTAAAAAAATTGCACACGGACTGAAAACCACAGGGCTCGGACAAGAAGGCGTGCAGTACTGGCTCAATCCAGCTTTACCTACTTGCAACGTGCTTGTGGCAAAAAAGAGTGCGTTGGCTCAAGAGCTGCTTCAACACACCACTGTGTAACCAGGTGTGACGTAGTTTCGCCCTTCGCGCTCGGTGCGACACCCTATAAGCTGTAAGATATTGCTTTGTTCTTTCATAGCCTCAATTCTGTTTATGGTGCCTGGGTGGCGCCTAAAAAAAGCGTTCTTAAAAGTGTTTTGTTTGGGTCGGAACACTTGTCGTTTGTAGGGCACGACGCCGTCCTCATGCGACGGTGTTTGTCAACATAATGTCTTCGTTCGTACACTGTCCTTCGTTTGGGGTCGCCATCGAAACCATGACCGGTTGCAAACAATTGTCGTCTGCGCCCTTTCCACTGTTGTTCGATTGCCACTGTGCCGCCTGTACCGGCGCTGCCGCCTGCTGCCACTTATTTCGCCCAATGTGGCGTCGTTATTCAACCGCATGTTTGAAAGCGAAAACGAAGCCATAATTTCACCTTCCTTGATTTTGATCACAGTTGTAAAATTACAACTTTTGAAGGAGTCAAAATCTAGTGTTACATTTTCGACCACCAGCTCACATTTTTCCCGTTCAAAAAACTATTACACCTGTAGACCAGGCCCTACCACGTTCATGCAATTCTAGCGAAGTTACATTTTCTGGTTCCTTGAGCCCATACACTGACAACGTAGCATTATTTTTTGAGCGCCCTTTCCCTTTAGAAGTTCCCTGCGTGCCCTTTCATGTTGCATCAATTTCCTGTTTCCTTTCACGTTCCTTTCATCTTGCAGGTATTCCGTTCTTTTCCTTTCGTGTGTTCACTTCCTTCCATTTTGCATTTATGTCCTGTCATGTTTCTTTCATGTTGCATTCATGTTCTTGAAGTTTCCTTTCATCCCGCGCTCATTTCCAACCATTTTCCTTTAAATCTGCTTCTGCTTTGCTAAACAAACTCAACAATTTATATTTGTTACTTTCACACATGGCGCCCGCTACGGGCGCCGCGTGTGAAAGTAAACAGCTTTGTATCGGCAAAGCGCGGGATCGGTTGGAACCTCGGCCAACTTTAACCCTAAGGCCATCTCCCGCTTCCTGGCCGAACCGCTTCACCATTTTACCATAGGGGAAAAGCATGGACACTGATCTAGCTTTCACAGGTTGCCTTTCAATTCTTTGGGCACATACCACTGTTTTAGAGGCATCCAAAAATGTAGCTTACATTGTTGTGGGTTCCACTTTCTTCGCGCCTTTCTGCATGTTTTCTTTAGACATTTCTCCCTTTTCTGGTCCTTCTTTCTTTTTTGCTGCCTAGATGTCTTCCTTCCTTCTCAGTTATAACTTCGCACTAGGCGCCTTGCGTGGCCACTTCTTTCACTGCGTTTCCCACACGCAGCTTTTGTTCTCTAGTATTCACATGCTTCCTTTCGAGTTCTAGATGCATCGCATGGCTTTAGAGGCATCCAACAATGTAGCTTACATGTTTAAACCTTTCTTCCTCATCGATTCATTGTTTCTTTCTTTCTTCTTAGATGCCAAATACAGTAACCCTAGGGCCATCACCATGTACCTGACCGAGCCCGTGAGAAACTCAGAGACTCAACCCGACCCAGTCAGCACGGTTAGCCAATCAGCCGGGCCCGGTCAACCCGGTCCGGTCACCCCGGTTGGCCGGTCAGCCGGGCCCGGTCAGGCCGGTTAGCCAGTCACAGCCCGGTCCGGTCACCCCGCTTTGCACTTTGCCGGACAGCCGGATCGAAGTCAATTAGAACTGATTGAATTAGAATTTGATTACAATGAATTTGATTTTCATGATAATTTTCTTTGGAATTTAGTTTAATGTTCTTCAGAATTCAAATTAATTAGACTTCAATTTAGCAGTCAATTAGACAATTGCCTTTAAAATACAATTCAATAAAATCAAACTACAAATTCATAAAATTTAGATTACAATTTGCTATTCCGGGTTCACTTAGCAAATTCCAGTCAACCGGAACCCGGTCAACCGGCCCGGTCAACACGGTTAGCCGGTCCAGCTGGTCACGGTTAGAACCTCGCCACCGCGCTTCGATATACTCTCTGATACTGGAGGATGATCTTATCTTTGTATCCCAGTGTTCTGTGTTCTTTGCACTTGTGTTCGTGTGGTGACTTTTCCATACGCGTCTCCGCGGTGCGCCGAGGGCCCGGGCTCAAAGAGGCATCGGCGCACTCACAGCTGCCCTGAGGGTTTGAACACCAACACAATCAACAGATCAGCCCGTTTGGAAGACATAGATCTCGAGATCAGCCGATGATCCAAGTCGACAGAGGCCAAGTATATAAGCAAGTTGTTCAGCCATTTTCAGCTGTACAAACTCAGAACATCCCAAGTCGTCTACGTTCTACTGCGGGACATCCTGATTTTGAGCATGTGCCAAGAAGGACACCAATCTCAAGACTTCCCAGTGCCCAGACAGGCCAAACAGGGCTGAAATCAATCTGACCCCTTGCTGTCTAGGGTCGGGCTTTCTAAAAACTAATCAACTCTACATTCTTGCATATGATTGCTTACCATTGCTTACCCTCCTTGACCCCGGCCAGGTCACCTCCAAGCATTTCGGTGGCTCGGTCGGACAGAAGATGGCGGCGCGGCCATCCCATAAGGCGCCCCGTAAGGGGCTGTAGACCTGCGTGTTCAGCTGAAGCAGTTCACGAACTGGGTACGGAACGTCTGGTACATCACTGGTACGTCATGTTTGGTGGCCATGGAACCTGGCTGAAGGAGCACGACCCGCTGGGCTTTCTAGTCTCTGGCTAGATGAGACCCTTTTTTCTAAGAATCCATCATGGCAGTGGAAAAAAACGCACGGCCTGTTGCTAGAGGATATCAATCTTCGAAAATTCCGGTGGATGGTACAATTCTTGAATCTCAAAATCTCAAACAACACCGATGGATTTTCGCAACCCCACGGATCCGCTCGCATCGAATCCATCGAACACCACTCGGACTCCTCATCAGGACTCTCAGTCGGGTCTCCTCTGAGGCTCAACTTCCCTTTGACGATCATCACAGTGGCAGGGGGTGCCGAGCATTATGAGCTACAGCAAAGCACTCTACAGGTGAGCTGTGAAAGGGAACAAAAAAGAAAACACCGAAAACTGTAGAGCATTGTAGAGCCCTGGCTCAAGGGGAAAAGGGATGGGAAAGGCTCTATGTACAGTGGTTTCAGAGTAGATGGCACCAGTTGCCCCAAGTTTGGGGGTTTCTATGGACCCCCATCTACAGGACATCTTGGGGTGCCAGTGCCATCTACTCTGAAAGCACTCGATAAGACCTTGGGTGCCGGACCACCGCGCACAAAGGGGCCGATGAGGCCTCAGACGAGTCATACGAGTTGGACGTGGATTTCCAGCAGCTCGGAGCAGTTCTCCCCTGCCCACCATGTGTCTGTCAAGATCGATTTCAACACCCCAAATCATCCTGGGGATTCCTGAGGTGAACACTTGGAGCTCGAAACACTCAAGGATGATGGCTATCGGATGGCTGACCTGAGGTTTTGCACCTTCTGATTCTATTCGGTGGTTTCCAGGTCTCTTTGTGGCTTGGCCGGACAATGACCAGGAAAGGCGAAACAAAACTGATGACCTGAAGCGGCAGCTCCTGCCCGTGCTTCGGGAACTTCCTCGAGAACGGCTCCGGGGAATTCGGACGACCGAAACGGCGCCCGAGCCAGGCTCCCTCCGACCAGAAAGCGCGTCCGTACGTGGTCGGGGGTCCATGTCAAGGTGGCCACTGCGGTCGCCCGCGCGACGTGCCGAAATGGCCCGTGCTTTTTCCAACCCGAAGCAACCGGCCAGTGGACTGGTCTGACCAATGGAACCCTGGCTCTTTCCGTTCCAGAAACACAGGGGGAGCATCCAGTTAGGCCCTTTCTGGGGAGGGATGATGACATGTTTTGACTCACCAACTCACTCTGGTTCGGCCGCCTTGATGGGAACGACGCCCATCTGGATGTTGCTGGGCCAAACGCCCAAGATCCTCAAGGCCTCAGCAAACAGCAGGGCGATGTGGGGTGATCTTAGCATGGAGAGAGAGAGAGAGAGAGAGCGCGAGCAGGGAAAGAGAGACACCGATCGGTAGAACACACGGAAGGACAGCAAGGAGTCAAACCGAAGACAAAACAACAAGCACATAATACCAGCTACGGTATAGCTTATAGCAATACAACAAAAACACACAAAGCTCGTACAATATGCTGTATACATATAAGTAGTGGTCCCCTAACTAGATAGAAACGCTATCTACTTCTATTTGCGGATAGAAAACGATTCCTTCAGCCCCCCGACTCGGACGTAAAGGATAGGCGCTGACGGAATTCGGCACTCAGCTAAACCCCAATTCCTCGAAGCCATCTCGACAGACCGACGGACCTTGTCACCCCGGACGTGCCAAAAAGGGATCACGGGCCACACCTGATCCGGCGCCAAGCGGTGGCACAAGTCCAGCTTTCGTAGCGCCTCGGAGGGCGACCGGTGGGGTCTTTTGGTTCCCGCGTGAAGAGCTGGGCTTGTGCGGGGTTTTATGGCCTAAAGTGTTGGAGGCTGACCGTGCAAAAGGAATCGAAGCTTCCGTCTGTCTTGAAGTCTGACTCCTCTGATTTCTGTACCAAGGTTGACCTTGGTGTTTGTGTTCACAAAGCTCATTAATATGGAATTCCCAACAAAGATTAAACGGTTAAACGTCAATCGGCGCTTGAGTCATCCTTCAATATGATGGGCTTCAATGGAGCTCCAACTTGTGATCAATCCAAGAATCAATGGCTTTTCAGCACAATGGTCTTTCAACTCTTAGAGTCAAAAGGCTGCAGTTTGGACGGTGACCATACGTGGCCATGGTTGCCCTCACAAATTCTGGTAGCCATACTGATGGGAATCCAACCCATTCAAACCCTCCCTGCAACCGCGCCATATCCCGCTGCTCTTCCACTGGCAAGCGCGGAAGTATCCTGCGACATCCAGACTCTCTGGTCACGAATATGGGGCTCTACAAGCATTTCCTGGATCGTTACGTCCATAGCTTCTTGCTACTAGTAGTAAGGCCAGAAGCTACTACATCGTAGTGTCCTTGCTAGTAGCAATGCACCTTGCTAGTAGTAGCACAATTTTCGCTCTGCAAGCCTGGGCCCCAAGGGCCCCTTGGAGTATGACTTGTATTGACTGGCAAGCCAAGCGAGAATCCTCCGGAACATACTGTACTTCAAACAAACAGTTCGGTTGTTTTAGGACCAATCCACTCAATATGCCGTGCAACATGCTTCAACATGGCTTGACCTTTTCAATATTAATACTTTAAATACTAACTAGTAGTAGTCCACATATGTTCCACTCCAACATGAACGTGGGCCAAAATTAAATCATGAACAAACAAGCTTGCCACATAGCAAAGCCCCCCATGACAGGTCCCACGACCAGTTGCACGTCATCCCAAACTCTGCTTGAGAGCCAGCGACGAAGCTCCCCGCGCGCCCCAAAAAGCGCACCCGAGCTCGACTCGTGTCCACGGTCCTATCAGGAACCACACTACCGTCGTGCCGGCTGGACAACACTGAGCAGGGAGTCCATTTGCCGTCGTCCTGTGCAGGTAGCTAGAAGCTACGCACGGTGGAGGCCATCGCTATTAGGTTGGAGGCCATTAGTACTAACAAGAAGCTACTATATAGTCTTGTGTGCTTGAAACAGCGTCTGACCCTCAGAGCTTTCTTCAATCCTTCGACCGTCCTGGCGTCGCTCGAAGACCGGGAGTCTGTTCAAAAGAATTGAACACCTAACATCCATGGCGACCTCACTGGATGTCAGGCTACCAAAGGAATGTCAGTTCCAAAACGAAACCCCTTCAAACGCCAATTCAACAAAACTTTCACAGTTCAATTCCTTTTTGTTTCCTTTCAAGCAATTCCTGAACCAGACTCAGAGTCTTGGAGTATTGGAAGGGGTGATGCTGAGAAAACCCAGCCAACACCAAGGGATCTTTAGATCTGATCCAAAGTATCTCCTGTACCATTTGACTGAGCAGTTTCCTGCTTCTTGGTGCCCTCAGCGCCGGTCCGCTTCGGTCGCCTCCGGGCTGCAGGTGGCTTCAGCCGGTCCAGCCTCTACTCTGGGCAAAAGGCTCCTGGAGGACGGTCTGAGGTGGCGGGGAGGATGAGGATGGGTCTGGCGCGCTGCGAGTGACACATCAACATCGGTGAGTGGATTCACCGGACCCCATGTATGATCATGTATGTATAACTAAACTAAATATTATTATAGTCCACTATCAGCATTTAGATGCTTTACAGCATAATTCATACCAGCGACCATATATGTAAAATAGTTTCCCTGCAGGGTCCTGAGTTGGGTGAAGCCTTCCCCAGTACACATGAGAAGGGTCATGAAGAATCACACCGGACCCATGGTGCAAAGAAGCGGGGACCGTCACTCAAAGATGTGGGGATGGGTCAAAATATGGAGCCCCTAACACCATGTAGCTTGAACTTCCAGGTAGGTCAGGGGTAGGTTCAACCAAAATATCTTTGTTTCAACCCACAGTCACAGCCTCAAGTGGGAACCTTTCAACAGCCATCACGGAGTCGCTGCCTTTGGAGAGACGTTGTCCTTTATGGAGGCCAGCAGATTTCATGGTGTTGCCACCCCAACAAGGTGAGGAATCAAAACCATCAATTTGAGACACCAAAATGGATATATGATTCATATATGATATATGTATTATAGAATAGGCAGTGTCTGGCAGGGGGTCAGGCTGCGAGTCTCCCTATTTCAACACAAAGACACGCAGCCTGGTTTGACTCTATGTCCCTTTGGGGAGCACAGCCTTAGGACCCCCGCATCACAGCCTTAGGGGCATTAGATCCGATTCTTCCCATTCTTCGACAGCGATGCTTGGAGAGTTGGACTGTCCTGACCTTTTCACCGACCAAAATGGCGCCCCCAAGTCTCATTGGGTGGATCAAACACATTCTTGTAAGCTTGGGCGTCTTCCGTTTTCTGGTTTGGGATCAATTCCGGCTTTCGCTGCTTAATTCGCTCTTCTTTCGTCTTACTTCGTTCTTTCTGAGTTTCGCGTGCGGCACTCAGGGCATCAGGTTGCAAAAAGAAACCTTCTTGTTTGACTAACTGACATCCCTTTTCGATCCTTTTCCTGGCTCCGCCGGCCCGTCCTCGAGATGGTTTCATTTAAACCATCCACCAAGCTCTCTGGCCTTGAACCAAGTGCACTGTGGCGAGATCGGATGAGATCGGTCGATGCGACAGTCTCACAGCCTTTAGCCTACCGCTTCACAGCCTAGTATGCGTCTGTCTTCATCGAACATGCGCCTCCAACCTGCTAGCGATGGTCGAGTAGAGGAACCCCCAAGAGATGCTTGCCCTCTTCCTGACTCCCGAGCGGTAAAGGGAGTATCAAGGCGATCATTCCTTGCTGCGTTCGTAGCGATGCCCGAAATGCTCCGTTCGCAGCTTGAAAAGACAACGCCCACGATAGGGTTGATGCAGGGCGCCTGGCGCCCCTATCGAAAAACCTATGTATTGGACTCTTCACGGTGAGCGTGACTCTTCCAGTCAGTGCTGCTTCTCCGCTTCAGTACTGAGCTCCCTCACCAGGACAGCGACGCTAAGCAGCTACACAGCTTGGGCAGGTGTGGCCGTGGATCATGTCCAAAGAAGGCCACGGAGCATGGGATGGAACCTCAGGTGTCCCTCGACCACCATGGAACGACGAGTTTTTCGAAGAAGGTACTGTACTTCTTTTTGCTTTACAAAGCCCCTATTGGGGCAAAGGACATTGGACACATTTGAATGTCCAGGTGTAGGTCATCATAAATAAAGCATGCCGGGTAGAGTTGCAATATATTCAATATTCTATTCAAGTACAACTATACAACTCATTCATGATGTCATCCTGGTTACTGTAATCACTGCCCCCCCATCTAATCTCGAGTGGCAGACGTGGTCTTGATCAACACATATTCTTATTAAGTTATACTTATTTGCTACGAGCCCGAGCCCGGCTCATGCAACAAAACCCAACAAGCTAATGTTGCCTCTGATACCCGAACTTGGCTCCTTCCACATGAATTGCATCGGAGCTACACTGCAAATAGGTCCAATTATTCGATGGTTAGTTAGCCATCGGCCGCATGCATTACATCACATTATAGTCGCAAACAACTTGGCATCTTGTCTGACTGTTAGACCTACATGACACTTGATGAAACTGAAAGACACCGGGGAAGAGGAGAATCGTCTACCCATCCACTTTAGCAAAGGGCCATCCATGTTTGCTTTTGGCAAAGCCCTACATCTCTTTGGTCCAGTTGTGTCTGGGAGTACAGTAGAGGGAACACCCGATAGTTCAAAAGGCTTTCTATCAGTGGAAAACGCACGAAAGACGTGACACCTCATCATAAAAACTTTGAGACTGAACTAATTCACATGCCCCAAACTCGGCTGCAAATGCACAGGCGTCCAGTTCGAGGCGCCGTTCACATGTCGAAGCATGCTCCAGTCCGCCAGCCTTGGCGAGTTGAGTTGAAGGACCACGTTTACACTCTGACTGACTCACCTTCCTTGAAAGCGGAGAGTATGTGAAAATGATCCCTTGGAAGGCAGGGGGGTGCCATCCACGTTAGTGAGTCACAGTGTAACACATGAAAAAACTCTACCGACCGGAGTCTCAGTTCGTACCTCGGACAATCAGTATACTGTATACACCCTGGAAGGCGATTCCATGGACCTTGATAACCACTGGTTGGTAGAGGAAAACACTCTTCCAGGAGGACAGGACGTCAGGGTCTATGTGAGTTTTCGGGAGTGTTTTCCCCCGCCCGGCACCGACCGTTTGGTCTTCGGACGTTGGACGTCCGACGAGTCGCAGGGCCGTTGTCAGACGGAGCGTCGTTGCGAACCAAAAGCCGACCGGTTTTGGTAGAACATGGTACAACAGGAGCAGTTTCTTGGAACAGGTTCCATGTTTTTTGTTGGGTAAACAAACGGCTTACCTGGTTGCAACAAGGAACAGGTTCCATGATGTTCTCATTTTTGAAGGGTCACTTTGAGAGGGTTTTTGGCATGGCAACTTTCTGATGCAAAACCTTTGCGGACCTTGCACGAACCGCTGGACCAAGGCTGTTGAAGTGACACCCCTACTTGGTGGATCAGATCAGTTTCCAGGAACATTTGACTCAACCAAGGGCATGGTCGAAGTATTTGGAAGCAAGCCTCCGTGAGATAGTGTACATAATCAAGCTTTGAGTTTGTGCATTCCAAAGGCACCATTTTAAGGCAGTTTGTGGAAGGAGAAAGTGGAACAAACAACGGGCTGTGTCCGCCCTTGACTCTACCAATGTCGGCTTGATTTGAATGCCTGCTTTGCGGAAAATATCAAAACTGTTCTTGGGCGAACCCCATGTCTAACTGTTGCACACATGCAGGTGCTATGATAGTGCTGTATTATGATGTATAATTATGGTAGAACCTGTTTATTCTTTCAAGGAACATGAAATAGAAGTCGATTGCTATACGTTCCTGCTGCCTCGCACTACCTTTACCTCACAAAACAACATAATATAAGTTATAAATTGATATAAATTGCCGAGAACGGCGCTCGTGCTGGCCAATCTGTCCCACATGCAGAGCAACAAGAGCTGTCCCATTCTGTCCCCCAGTTCTGCAAAGGCAATACAAAAACATGAAAAAAAAGGCACTGGTACAAACTGACATACTGATTTCACACTAATTAGCTAGGCCAATTCTAAGATATTCTAAGGATACTCCAAGGATTTCGGTAGGTCAGTTTCAGAAAGTGCTTATTTCGCCTTTCTCGCCATCTGTGCCCGGTCCCCGGACCAGCTATGCAATGCCACTGTGCCCACGCAGTTGCAACTCCCACCCTGCGTGGCGAAGGCGGAGCGCTGCGTATCGTCGACTCCCGGTCGTTCGGTCGTCACCGAGGTGAAGGCGAAAGGCCTGGGTTTGGCGTCCTTTCCTTGGAAAGAGGACTGGCATTCGATGGACACCCTACGGCCCTACGGTTCATCTTCTGTTTTTCGTTCGGAAAACAAAGGGTTTGGAATCTCCGCACATGGTTTGGACAAGATGTTGCTCTGGTTGAACATATTTGCAGTAAGTCTGTTTCTTCATACTATTTCCACCTTTGTTTTTTGCTCGCCAATGGAGGTTATATAGTAAGTACGGTATATCCGGATATATCCGGTATGACCTTGTGAACTAATCGCTGGACTATGCAACGAATGGTTTGAGTCAGGGAGACATATTTCAGCAAGCGTTCCAAATGAAGGTGTTCATGCATCTTGGGACATGTATCAATAGATGATAATAGATGGATTTGAAACGTGTAGGTGCTGATTCAGAGTATCTGGATATCTACCCAACTTTAGTTGGACAAATCTTGTGAGCTTTAGTCTTGCTCACTTTCAAATTCATTGAATCCTATAATTTGGGACCTTGGCCTGCTGGATATTGCCACATCGAGGATTTTGCGCCCACAAACGTGTGCCGTCAACGTGACCGGACCAGGCTTTCATCATGGGCGGCTTGGTGCGGAACCGGTCCTTTCTTGGTGGTTCCAAGTAGCTGCCGTCCTGGAACTGGTCCTCAAATACCTTTAGCACGGGCCGTTTTGAGCACTCAAGTAGGTCCCAGCTCCATCACTCGTTCGTAGGTTCCAGCTTCTCTTTTCGCTTGTCTGCACTGGATCAGAAAGCTACTATTATGCAACGCTGGACAAAACGGCTTGTGGTATGAAACCAACTAATGCCGCTCTTGTGAAGATTAAGTCTGGGCAACACTGTGGGTCAAACATTATCAAAACCAAAAGCCATAACCGCGACTCTGCGGAATGGAGTGTGTGTGTGTGTGTGTGTTCAGTTCGCCCAGGCACCAACCGTGGTCACCAACCCACAGTAAATTAATCAAATCAGAGCGTCCAGATTGAGAAATTTCTTCAAATGACAATCGTCCATCGTGCCTAGATCTGCCGACGTTTCTCGGGACGACAAAAGGTCTCCTGATTGAGAACCCCCAGCAGTTGCATCGTTGATGACGGTGTCTCACCAGTCATCCTTTAAGAACCACATCAAATTTATGACTCGTTCATAAACATATCAAAAAGGGAAGCCGCACGCGTCTACTCGTGCGAGAAGCAAACCAATCGACACGACTGCAGCCGAGACCAATCGGCTGAAGCCTGCGAATCGGTTTGGAATCAGTCTGTGGATGTCTCCCAAAGAAACTTATGAAATAGAAACAATCCCGTGGCGGTGGCCAAATAGAAACAACATCCAGTACACTTGAGAAAGGAATTCACTGCAAGAGTACTTTTGGTTGTTTGTGTGGCGACCCCAACCCAGATTCCAAATCCGAAATCCACATAGCGCAGGCTCAAAACTGGATTGCAACAACAGTTTCATAGAATCCAGCTTTTGTCTATCAATCGTTCGTCTTTTGGGATTTTTTGGGCATAAACACACCAAACTGGTGCCATGCCTATTTTGTGCCTTGCCTTGCGATGCATATTGTTGCTTCATCTTCATGCCATATCTGGCTCAGAAGTTTTCCTCCGGCAGGATCGTTGAACCCGTCATGCTTGGCTCATCGTTTTCCTCTGCATGCAATCGCAGCAAAGCCTTGGCAGACATGCTTCTCCTCAGTTGGGTCACTCGTCGAATGGCTCACATAGAAGAAACTTGAAGAAACACCATCATGAGCATCATAAATGCTCAGCATCAGCTAGTTACAGCCATCATGAGCATCATAAATGCTCAGCATAGTTACTGCTATCGTTCATTTGAATCTCTGCGATGCCGTGATGCCAAACGGGTCAAAATGGGAGACCCTGGTCGACCACCCAGGGTCAAAACACAACAGAATAGACGAATCAGAGGGATTAGGGCTCCAGGGTTTGACCCACAACCATCTAGACATGTGCATAGGACTTGCTTGTGATCCATCCCAAGGATTGTCTTTCTTCAACCCATGGTTTTGTGTTTATATGAACATTCATCATCGACCTGGTTGCGGGTGTAACTCCAAAAATGTTTGGATTTTTCGGTGCAAAAATGGTACCAAAGGCCCCCTCATGTCTCACCCAGGCCGCACGTTTTCGCGGTTTGCCGGCAAAGGCTCTTGGGCGCCACCAGCAAATTGATGATGCTTTGCCGGCCCCTTGTGTATTCCACCTGTTGTGCTGCTATCACCACCTGCAGTAGCGTGCGCTTTCGGGAAGTCCGCTGATCGCGGTCTGCACCGAACTTGAGAAGCAACACAAACAGTCCGAGGTTCCCCTGCTTCGCAGCCCAATGCAAAGGGCGCAGCTTTTCGCGCAGTTGCAGGAATTTGGGCAGTTGCACGGGAAGACAGTTTGCTGGTTGCTGCAGGGCATTCACATCTGCAAAATGGTAAATCGCCAGAAACTCTTGCACTTCAGCGAGTCCCACTTCATGCTTTCGACGCCGTCGTAGACACCCGCGCGTGGGGCGGGGAGTCTCGGCGTCGTTCGTCGCCTCCGCTCCATCGTCCGGTCCGAGGTTGGCGACTTCGCCCGGAAGCAGCACAGGACGGCCCGGTGCTGGGATGGCGCTGAGCCAGCCCTCCGCCATGGGCTTCGCACGGCTTCTTGGTGCTCTACACCAAGGCCAGGGGCCAAAGGTCTGAGATGATCGACGGTCAGCGTAAGCTGCAGCGTTTCGACGTGGTTTGTGTTGAAGGGGACCTCTATTATAGTCCCTAGGGCTCCAACCACCTCCTGAGAAGATGGTTGGGGTGGGTTTGGGGAATCTAACCACCTTCTGAGGATGTGGTTGGAGCCCTAGCGAGTAAACGTAGGTGCGGATATAAGCTGCACATCGCCCCCGAAATGATCTTTGCTATATGTCTACACGTCCGACAGAAAGCTGATTTGGCAGGTCAAGCCCGGGTGACCGACCGGTACTTTGAAGGATCTCAACCGCCACCACGGTCGCGGACTCGGTCACTCCGGACTCCCACGCAGAAACCAAACGCCTTGGACTGGTCGACCGGGTACTCCGTGGGGGTTTCGAGTGGGGGAGGTTTGGACCCGGCGGCCCACTGCCGACCTCGCCTCCCGTGCACAAAGGCGCCACCCGCCCAACGGACCAGTGGCAAACACGGACCGTGCGCCGTCCGGCTGGGACTCAACTGCGCGGGAGGGCGGCTGGGACAGTCGTTGGGGCCCGAAGGGTGTCGGTGGTGAGCTACACCAAGAGAGGTTAAGCGACCGTAAATAGGACCCGTCACCTGGGGTACCTATATGGGGTAGTCGAACTAGGAATCTGACCCACCTCTGCTGGCATTCATCTAGCCCTTGGAGGTTTGCAAGAAAAATAGGCAGTGAGTGACCTGGTGTTTGAGATGGCATGCGATCACCAATTCCCCCTGATTTCGCGTCAAATTTGGGACTCCAAAGAGATCAAGTGGAATGCTCCTCTTTATATATGAAGGTCACATGTTTATTAGTGAAACTAATTCCTCATAGCTTGGCGTGATGACAGCCCTTTTAAGGATGGACGATCGCTTGACTGAACCTCTGTTCATTGTGGGAAACAATGGGAAACCAATCATGTTTTGCTGGTGGACCACATGGCAGGCTAATGTGACTTAAGTTAACATAAGTTAACATCAGTTAACCGAGGATTTCCGTTCTGCGATGCTTTTGGATCAGCCCCTGTCAGTGTTGCGCTTTTGAATGCTAAACCACAAGGTCCCGACGCCCGATGACAGCGCCGACCACACTCGGTGACGTGGAGGTAACCCGATGACAGCCCGGTCTGACACGCTTAGGCTTAGACACGTACGTTTGCCTAAGCCCGGTTCCTTGCCACTGACAGTGGTCTTCTCTTTGCTTCAGGGAGGTTTGAGAAGTAGCTTTGTCAATCCTCAGCTCAGAATACAAAGACCCGCTTCTGTTTTCCTTTCCGAAAACCTGGAAGACGCATGAACATACAAGCAACCAAAACGATTACTCTAAGACTTATTGAAACTAAAGACCTGGGATAAACAAACACTCATGTTGTAGGAACATGACAAAGTGCTCAAACACTTGGATATTGTTTGAGCTGCATTTTCATCTACAATATACATATAAACTACTATATTACTGCATGTATATAGTATCACCAACTCTCTCTGTGGGGCATCTGCGGACCAACTAAGTGTTTCAGTGTTTTGGCTCCACATGTCTCGCGGAGTCTCGCTCGCGTTCAACGCGCTCACTCCGTGCTCGGCGCTGACTTCGTTTGCGCCCTCGCGCCTGCATCAAAGGCTTCGTGGTTCGGCAAGAGTGTGGCCGTGGCCGTTAAGGTCACCGCGAAAACGCTTCGCCCGACTCGTCGCCGAAGCCGATTAGAGCCTCGGAAGAACAAGAGCAAAGCAGAGTTTCGAAGGGAGGGAAACCGGGCGTGTTTCGTCTTGGGCATGTGTTATAAGGCACGTCGACTTTGTTTGGACCCATGGTTTTTGTGGAAAACCGCACGAATTGTCACCAATGTTCGAGTCCTGCCCAGGCGCCGGCCTCAAGAGGGTTCGGAACCTCTGACGAGAGACATCTCGCTGGCGCCATGGTGCGCCGGCGAGGCCAGGCACCGAAGTCTTTGGATGAGCATCGCTACTAGGAACAAGCGCATTACTATACTAGTTAGACTTGTAACAAGGTGCATCGCTAGAAGCTACTAGTATACATAGCTATAAGCTAAGTGCATCGCTACTAAGTCACGATTTCTCTATTTGGATTCGAAGGCCGGTGAATCAGACGAATTCACCCACGGTCCCACATCCGAAAAGGCGCCCTTCCCTGGCGCCCAGCTGGCATCGAGTCTGACCGAAACCATGGTGTTGCTTGCGTCGCGGCTGGCGGGGGGTTTTGGACCCTCAGGTCCTCCATCAGGTCCAGGTCCAGGTGGAACAATGACCCTCCTGGGCCAACCTGCGACCATCCCGACGCCCCGCCGATCCGCCAGGTCACGGCTCCGGCCCCAAGACGTTTCGGGGCCCGCCATGGCCTGAACCGACGAGGCGCCACGGAACGGACCGGAACAGGTTCCCCTTCCGACCTGAAGACAAAGGGGGGGCGAAGGCTGAGGAATTCCAGGTGGTTTGCCAAGGATGAAGACCAAACCCACTAATTTAAGTAGACGTGACATGAACATTTATTCTTGTAAACATCCCACTGGACCAGAGTCAAGCTTGGTTCGGTCAGACCAACCTGGGCGGGACACGTCGTCTGGATCAGAAACTTACATGATTGGCTCACCCAAAAGTCTCAGCTGTGGGTATTTTCATGCTCTGCATATGGGTGTTGATCAAAATAAAGGTATCCGAGGCAGCTACAATCGCCGATCAACCGCAAATCAATCGCAACCCCAACGGTGTCAATCGCGGGAGAGTGCTCTCGTATGCAACAAGACTTTACGCAAAGAATCGTCGAAACATTGCTACATATCACAGTATTGTATACGTACAGTATTTAGAGACATGGCGTGAGCCAGGGCCTACACAGGCGGGTTTAACAATCGCGGCACAATCGCGGATCAATCGCGGATTTCGTCGACATTTTTTTGAGAATTGAATTGATCTGGGCTGGTAGACTTTGAACTTTGTTGTTCTGATTATTCTTTGCTATATTGGCTATCACTATTGAACACAGTGTCTAGGCAAACCCGAATACAGTGTAAGGCTGAACTGTAACATGATTATCATCCCATATAATACTGATTTCTCCTCTTACGATGGTCGATTCTGATACAACAAATGAAATATTTGTCTCAATCGCGAACCAATCGCCAATCAACCGCGATGCAGGTTTTTACAATCGCAAATGCTGAGATACACATGCCCTTTCATAATTCTTAGATTTGCATTTACGATCGGCTCCCATATGTTTAAAAACTAGTACCTAGTGATCCCAAATTAAATATGTATCTATAGAGCAATGAATCCGTCTTATCTATAGTTGGTTCTTGGCAAGTGTCAGTGACCACATCTGGCCAGCTTTGTTGATCAAGCGAATTTGATACAGGTACTGTGGAGTGCCAGAGCCTCCAGCCATTGGGTGTAGGTCTCTTGTTTCTCAGAGCTTTCAACCCGATTTGTGATCTACCCCACCTGCTACTAAAGTTGCAGGGTTATTGCATGTGTTAGCCAGACTCTCAAGGTTTCAATTCTGTTCTAATCCCTATAGAGATATTGACATACCTGTGAGAGAATCTTTGGGGATTTGGGTTCGTGTTCAGGGAACTTCCGAGGGCTGTTGGATCCGCTTCCATGGTTTTGAGGGGCGATTCCGGTGATTCCAGCGCCGGACTCGCTGTCCTTCTTGGCTCCTCCGGTCGTGGCCGCGGTCAGTTTTGAGCCCAGGTCCAGGTATCGGCGCAGCTGTAAGGCCAAAGGTCTAGGTATCGGCGCAGAGTAAGTGATCGATGAGAAACATCGACCACTAAGCAGTTCCATACCGGTATTGATTGGAGGATAGGGGTGGTGATCGATTCACTTGGGGACTGGCTGTCCCTTTGGAACTCCATTCGGAATTGTAACTCGTCATTCCAAACATCAACAAGGCATCAACAAACTAGAAAGTGGAAGATCATGCAAGAACTCCCCAAGTTGCCTTGCCTCGGAGCCTCCGTTTTTTCTATACTGGTTTTCGACCAACACGGACGCTTTGGGATCGATTCTAGGTCAAACAACATGTCGGGCCATAGCACCACCAGCATGGAGGTAGATGGGGAGGTAGCGCAAGACATGACGAGCAGTCTGTACTCCTCACGACGTGTCTTGTGAGGTGCTCTTGATCGTTAACCCTGTTTTTGCAGCGGTTGTGATCTTCCAAAGGGCACCCTAGGAACAAGAAACTACTAGGAGCAAAGGGCATGGGCGCTCCATCACCTTCGTTCTCCCAAGCATTATCCCACGCTTGTGCGTCAAACTCTCGTTCACATCATTCAGGCACCCGGAAGCATACAGTCCTCCCGAAAAGGATACTGTACGAGCCTTGATTGATCAATAGATGATATATGATATATATATATAATACATTAAACAACATATCATGGACCTACTATAAGGACCTCCAATGGTGCAACTCCGCTTTTTATCCAACGTTCATTCACTCCTCCGATCCCCAGTTGTCTGAAATTTGGTGAACTTTCTTGGGGTGGGTGGGTGGTTCAACCTCTCTGTCATCCCACCCCCCAAAGAAAAAGAAAAAACCCACTTTTTCTCCAAGACGGTTCCTTAAACTTGGACCTCTGGTCGCCCGTCCTTCCCACGTGATCGCTGGCTTCCAAGCTCGGTTCCCCACCGGTTCCAGACTCTCCCGAGAGGGCGGGTTTTCCAGTTATCCATGTTGGGAAAACTTCACCGTGCTAGGTTTTTAGCAAGGTGAAGAAAGGAAGGAAGGAAGGAAGGAAGGACGGAAGGAAGGAAGGAAGGAAGGACGGACGGAAGGAAGGAAGGACGGAAGGAAGGAAGGACGGAAGGAAGGA